CTTTCGCAAAAGTGCTTCCATAAAAGTGCTTCATGTAAAATTACTTTTGTAAAAGTGCTTTCGCAAAAGTAAACATCTATGGCAACAGTTTTATAGATAGAGTTTTCTCAAAGAATGAAATGAGCAAGATGGGGCATGATTATTTTTCATGTTGTAGACTAGTCAATTTTTGTAATATAGGGCTAATTTTTCATTCTAAAAAGAATGTGGCCCTCGGCAAGAATTTCGTAACCAAACACTCTAATGTTATTCATTCTCGCCCATTCTTGCGTAGAATGAGCAAGAATTAAGAGAATGAAGCTAGAGCAGTGAACCAAGCATGGCCTTAGTATCGAAACTTTCAAAACATGCCAATCTAGTACCTACCATTAACCTGCCCTCTAACCAGCCATTAAGTGTCATTTAAAAAGACACAAATACCCTTTGAGTGTCATCTAATTCTCTTTATCAACCAACCAAACCTTGACAAAAAATGAACAGTCCCAAATCCTTGCCTCTTCTGTTCAATAAAGTTGGAGTCACCAGAATGCCCATTGAGACATAACCCCAACTTTCTTGAATAGAAAGAGACAAGAATTTGAGACTGTTCATTTTTATCAGCATGTTGGATGGTTGATAAAGAAAATTAGATGACACTCAAAAGGACATTTATGTCTTTTCAAATGTCACTTAACAGCTGATTAATGGGTTGGTTAATGGCAGGTATTGAATTGACACGTTCTGAAAGTTCGGTATTGAATTGTCACGTTTTAAAGTTTGGGGACCAAAGTGGCACTAGGCCCAAAGTACAGGGTACTAATCGGGAATTTGGCCCGATCTCGTAGCCCAGGGACACGTGTATGTGACCTGGCCCAAAGAACAGCTCAGCCTGACAGTACGACAGTGACTCGACGGGAAAGACACGCCAAGTCCAACGCTGACCACTCAACGAGTTAAGCAACTCGCCGGGGACTGACGCCTGGCCCATTTTGACCCCCACCAAGTATGGAAGGGGCCCGAAGCTCTCCCTTCCTAAGGAGGGAGCACCCCGAGGAAAGAGCACCTCGGGGCAGCACCGCCCCCAGTGCAGGCACCTCGGCACCTCGGCACCTCGGTACCGGGACAAACCTGTCCTTGGCAGTCCGGTGCGCGGCAGCTCGGTAGGCTGCGGGGAGCCCTGTCTGACATCCGTACCCGGTGGCAGGGCTCTGATCCCTTGCCAGGCGGCATTCTGTTTGCCGCCTTTGGGAAGCATGACACGTCTATCAAGCTCGTACCTGGCGATGGCAGTGTGTGGCGGCAACCTGCGCCTGCCACACCTGTCCTGGCAGTAACGGATAGAGCGGTGGCGGTTATGCCAAGTATGACCGGGCTCCAACATAAAAGAACTCCTCCCACAAGGAAAAGGTATTGAAGCTTAAGCACTTTCAACACTCTTACTCTCTACTCTCTCTTTGAGATTTTCTCCAGTTCTAACTTAGCCGTCGAAGTGTTCCCACCGGGATATCTCCCCGGGAACCCTTCACTTTCTCCTTCCTCTTAGGTGTTGTTCGTTCCAGCCAGAAGCTAGGTCACAGCCAGCTAGGAGTGCCCAAATCGTGCAGCATCATTTGGCGTGATCTGTAGGAAACACTTCGAAAAGCCTCCCTTTAATCTCTGCGAAACTTCCTTCTTTCACTCACCAGCACCACCAACACGCATGGCTTCTTCTAACAACTCCGAACGCCAGAACACCCTAGAGGAACAACTCCAA